AGTCTAAGTCGGTGTGCCTGTTTTCCTGTTTTTTGTGCGCGCTCCTGCAAAATGCGCGCGACAGGCAGCCACGGCTCGTGCACATCGGGGCGGTTCTGTGTGGGTCTGTGCTGGGCGTGGGCTACACGCACTCCGGGTCCCCACTCCCCATCCTCTCACACTGGAACCACATTGTTCGACGAGGGCACGTTTCGCTCGAACCAATGAGTACCTCCGAGTCACCCTGTGCTATTTAGCGGAAGAAAAGTGAACCGCTCGTGGCATATCATAACAATTCGATTATTTGAAGACGACCGGAAACGGTGCGAAGACTGTTTGGATATATTCAATTGAAGGGGCAACTTGAGTTGGAACATTTACCCCTCTGGCAGACAAAACATCGCTAATTAGAGCTCTGCTTGTTGTAAGTATGCAGTGAACCCATTCCAGTCTCCGAAATGTGTTAATTACGAATAATGTGTCCGCTTTTGTATCGCGTTGTGTCTTGATGCCCACAGTTACATGTTAGCTAGCAATGGTGAGGTTTTAATTGACAAACAATCATCTCTTCCATTTACACGCGTGAATTTACTTTGATCTACGTGTGTGTTCCTCATAAATAATGCATGTGCAGTTCGCGCAATTATCATTCTGAACGACAAGCCCTGAGTATAGTGTTCAACTTGGGAGTAGGCTACTGGATGTCTCAGTTACCCCTAAAACAGAATAGCAAGTCATTCAGATTCGGTTTAAATGACTGCATCGCTAAAGAAATACAAACAAACGAGACCGCTTTTGTCGCTAACGGTGTTCACGTGGACCAAAGGGAGACACCCTGTCACACTGTGAGGAAACTGCAAATGTATCACTGCGGAAGTTGGATTCCTTTACCAGGGTTGAAGGCTGTTATGATGCTGCCTCCCTAAAATGTTGCATGAGGAGGGGCTGACTGTGAGTGTCACTTTCAGATCATGGCTAAAAGGCTGGAGTTACAGTATATTCATTGGCCACATTAGGCACACCTGCACAATTCAACGATATTCCATAAAGGCTAAAGCAGCGATCACCAATCTGGTGCCTGCAGACACCAGGTAACCCCCAAGAACAACATGAGTAGTTGTTCTTAAAATAGCTCAATGGTGAAGTGATCGTTTTAAAATGTTTGTATTTGCACAGATTTCCAGAAAGAAAGTGTTGCTTCTTGATAGTTAAGGCCTATCCCGGGTTTGTATAGGCGACAACGCATCACATTATCGATGCGTTGTGCTGCGCAGCACGTCTGTGACACGTCAGCAGCACATGCCATGCACATGAAAGAAATTGTTGCTGTGTATAGAATATCAGCGCGCATTCATGATTGGTCTTTTGATCGAATCAGTGATCGAGTACCATGTTTTTTATCAAAGCTTCTGGTTGCTGATCGATGCCAAAAACCATCATCCATCCATTTTCGAATTCGCTTATCCTCACCAGGGTCGCGGGCGTGCTGGAGCCTATCCCAGCCATCATCGGGCAGTAGGCGGGAGACGTCCTGAACTGGTTGCCAGCTCATCACAGGGCACACATTATAGTCAAACAACAACCATCCACTTTCACAGTTATACCTCAGGTCAATTTAGAGTATTCCCTTAACCTACTGGAAACCGGGGTAAGCGGAAAAAAAAAACCAAAACCTTGATCGCGTAAAGCCGATTTTGAAGCCCGTCTCATGATGGTTTGGACGTTCTATGTGCTGGCCCTGTCTACACAATACGATTTTTTTATCATAAATAGGTCAAGTTATAGGACAATCCCTCCAGGCAGCATTATGTCTTTGTCAAACTACTGAACTTTTTTGTTGTTCACGATGGTCACACTGTCAGACTACCAGATTAAAATCTGCAGATGCATTGTTTTTATGTTTAGAAAAAGGGGGGAAAAAACGAAGGAAAAGAGAGTATGGAACCCGTTCTTGGATGGTGTGGAGAGGGCGATATGGACTATCCCCAAAAATAACTTGAGGAAACAAATTTGTTTAGTGACACCACGTTTGCCAATCAGCTACTAGCTCAGTTGCCAAATGTAGGATCAGTTTAACTGCTCCACATACTTTCCAATATTTCCCCTTTTGTTCAAGTCACGTTTTGTTTGCTTGTTAACACCACATCCAGTCTCTCGTCACAAGTATTGGTCATTTTTGAGGAACCAATTGAAGGACGACGTAGGACATGTCACACTATGTGACAAGACCAACAAAAATTCTGACATGCCAAACTTTCGTCGTGGTGGTCATGAAGCGCCCCAGATGCCTCACGACCAATCACTGAGTATGTCATACTACACGGGATATGACATGTCAAGACACCTCAACATCGGCTATGAGACACTCGTTTGTCTGCGGCATGTCTGTCAGCACAAAATCGGACGACCGCGCTGTAGTCATTGCACTCCTCATGACAACACTGGAATTGAAACAGGAGTTCAGAGATTTCAGAGAACATTTTTCTCATTTTATGGTGTTTTACGAAAATGTTATTTTAATAAATAACAAACTGATTAAGTGTTGTCAATCAATGTGACTTGGTCAAATGCCCCTCCCTAATGGAAGAAGCATCAAAGTCCATTGATGAGATTTTCAATGAGTCATACATGAAGTGAGGCTGCAGTGAATCACATGGATCAAGTCCACCTAGTGCTAGATGTGACGTGTATCTGTCATCTTGTCTGTGAACAGCTGAGCCCGACAACTAGTAACTTATTCCAAGTATGAGAGTGACTTTTCAGATATACTGTAAAGATGCTTAAGAAGATTTTCTTCGTAATTTCCCGGATTTAGTTTTTTAAATGTGTAGCTGTGAATTGGGATAAGGTATTTTGTTTTCTAATAATACAATACAATATAATACATCTTTTTTTATACAGCGCTTTCACAACTGCTGCAGTTGTAACATAGAGCTTTACAGAACAGATAACATAAAATAACAAAATACGGTAATATAACACAACACATAAGAGATGGACGGTCATGCAAGAAGTCCAAGATGGCGCCCGAGTAGGCAGCCATCTGCAAGTGCTCTCATGAGCCTTGCTTTTTTTGTTGTTTTTCTGTTAGTTTTGTCACTTTGTGTTTGTTGTTACGTCGTGTGGACCTGATGTGGACTGTTTTCAGCATTTTTTGGCCACGACATTCATCAAGGAGGAGACTCGGTGCTTGGTGGTTTTGCCTTCTCGGCAGCATGGGTATGCCAGCACTGTTTTTGATTGGGAGGAATGTCGGCGCCATTTGACTGTCGTTGCTGGACAGCTCCGGGGGCGCTTGTGTCTTGCGCCTGTAATGTCACAGCCCCGCTTTGTTCAGCGGAGAGATCGGTGCTGTTGAACGGTCTGCGGCTGGATGGATGCAAGGCTTGAGGAGCCGACGATGAGAAGAAAGGAGCGTTAGCGCAGAGCGCCGATGCGGATGTGGAACCGGGAGTCGCGTTTTGGAGTTGAAGTGGATTACGTGGGACAGGAGTAGTGAACTAATCTCTTTTTGTCAATGGACGCTACAGCTTCGTGTTTGCTTTCAAAACTTAGCTTGTAGCAGACGTGCACATTTTCAGCATGACGTCTCTGATCCACTGGTAAAAGGACACTTTGATCCTCTCCTCTTTCATCTATAACTGCTTCAGACAACAAAGTGTATGCAGGAAAGTGGTGAAGATTGCACAACTGTCTGTGTCCTATGTGTTGTGTTGTGTTGCGAGACTAATAAAGGTTTTCTTATCTTATCTTATGCAATCGTAACCACTATTCCTGCATATGTCTTGTTTGAAACAGTTATAGATGAAGGAGGAGAAAGTCAAAATGTTCTTTTACCAGTGGTTCAGAGACGTCATGCTCAAAATGTGCATGACGTCCCACACGTCTGCTACAAGCTAACTTTGAACGTAAACAAGAAGCTCTAGTGTCCATTGACGAAAAAAGAGATTTGTTTCACTTCTCCTCTCCCATGTAAATCCGCTTTAATTCCAAGCGCCAATTCTCAGTTCCAAATACACATCCGCGCTCCATGTCAACGCTCTTCTCTCCTCATCCTCAGCTCCAGCAGCCATCCATCCAGCCGCACCAACGCAGACTGTCAAATAGCACTGACATTTCCGCTGAACAAAACAGGACAGTGAAAAATGGTGCCCATTATAGGTGCAAAAAACACAAGTGTCCCGGGGCTGTCGAGCGCCAATGTTGAAGTAGCACCAACATTCCCTCCATCAAAATCAGTGCGAGTACACGCGTGCTGACCAAGAAGGCACAACCATCAAGCGCAGATTCTTCTCCTTTGACAAATGTCATAGCCAAAACGCTGAAAACGGTCCACAACGAAGGACAAAGAACACCAAATGACAAAACAAAAGACAAAAACAACAAAAAAGTAGAGCTCTTGAAGAGCTCTTGCAGACGGTTGCCAACTATGGCGCCATCTTGAATAATAACTTCAATTTAGAGGGAGAGTTCTGCTTCCTTTTTTTTTTCCAATTCCGTTAAAGATGCAGTACATTTTAAATGAGCTTAGACAAATTTGAATTATTTTATCTGTATCAAAGGAGGGTTCTTCTGTGTTTCTCGAACAGTGGTCCACTCCCCTGCTTGCAAGAAAGACCAACCAGTGAGTTTAGCAGCATTATGTCTGATGAAAACCCCTTAGCTCCTATAACCAGTTGTCCTTTGTGGAGGTCAGCTGGCCTTTTCATGTCTGCTGCTCCCTCCATGGTCTCACTCTGCTCCATCTCCACAAAGAATGACCCCCGGAGGGAAAAGTTCACCTGCACACAAAAACTACAAGAGAAAAAAAAAAAGATCATTTCAAAATGTAAATGCAAAATGGAGGCTCTCCTTCATGCTTTGCAGTTTTGGTCAAGCTTCCACTTGGATGAAAAATGGATAATTAAGCACTGGCTACGTTTATATGCAGGCAGTCACCCTATCAAAACCTAAATATTGGCAACATCTGATAGGCCGTGTAAACATGCGCAAAAACCCGATTATGCTCATATTTGGGTTTTTAAAAACCTGAATAAGACCCATAGGTTAGCCTTTTTCGAACATGAATATTAGATCATATAAATGATTGGGTTACCACCTTCAAACAGAAGATTGTTTTGTGTTCTGTGCATGCTATCTCCGCAAGGAATCTTGGTCTTTTGAGTATCGAATGTATTTGTATGCACGGCATCTGGCGCACAAACCCCTAGAAATACACAAGCAGAGATTACACAAACATGACAAAATTCAGACGTCGCACAGCACAGAACCACACTTTTGGAACGAAGAGGAAGCTTTATTGATTTGGTGAGTGAAATGAATATAATGCATTTTGTTGACAGTGGAAAGTAAGAAGCAGAAATTACATCTGTTTATATCATGACGTTGTCCACGCGTCGCTGTTTAAATTGAGACATCCCAATT